AAAATAAAGTAAGAAATTTCTACTTACTTATAATTACTTATTATTTCATAAATATTAAGGTATTTATATTTCAACATTAATATATTTTTCATAAAACTATAGATACACTATGTACTATTACTTAAATAAATGTTCAAAATCATAAAATAAATGTGCAAACACAGTATCCAATAGAGTTTTATTTTAATTAACAGAAAATAACTTTTATGGGGGTCGGTGGAGAATTCGAAAAATTATGTAGGGGTCGATGATTAAAAAAGTTTGGCAACCCCTGCTCTAGACCAACCCCGATGAAGATTAATACAGTAATAGTCTAGAATATTTTTGTGAACGGAATTATGTCTATTTCATTGTGATTAGAAAAATATGCGTTTTTAAAAATCACTTTGTCACTGAATTATTGCCATGATGGAGAAAAATTACGCAGGCATATATGGCAGTGTGAGTATGCACTGTTCCAAAGCAAGTTTATGTTGATAATTGTTGCATAAATGTGCATTTAACAAAATAGTTTCCACGTGAGTGAAATAAGAGTTGGTTACATTTATGCAAAATTTAAGACGAAAGATAGAAACACTGGATTTTTTTACGCCTCATTATGTTAGGAATTAAGTATTTATATTCAAATCCATAGATAAATAACACATGAGTGCATTTAAACATAGTCACATTAGAAATGAGACGAGCTGAGCCCAAGTCGCGACCCGGAGCAAGCTGGGGCTCGTTTACTGAACAAAAAGATTTCGGCCTTTGGCAGGCACGCATTCATGATGATATTTTCATGAAATTTTTACAAGTTTTAAACAAACATTAGGTTCCGTTATTAAGTAAAATGTAAAATTTATAAAGTATAAGAATTTAAGGATCAGCTTCTTTTGTTAAGTGCTTTTGCATTGTGAAGCTAGCACTAATTGTCAAATTATTATATTCAAATCCATAGATAAATAACACATGAGTGCATTTAAACATATTCACATTAGAAATGAGACGAGCTGAGCCCAAGTCCCGACCCGAAGCAAGCTGGGGCTCGTTTACTGAACAAAAAGATTTCGGCCTTTGGCAAGCACGCATTCATGATGATTTTCATGAAATTTTTACAAGTTTTAAACAAACATTAGGTTCCGTTATTAAATAAAATGTAAAATTTATAAAGTATAAGAATTTAAGGATCAGCTTCTTTTGTTAGGTGCTTTTGCATTGTGAGGCTAGCACTAATTGTCAAATGACTTTCATTTAGCTTAATATTTAGATTTTCTTTCTCAATTTTTTGTTTTAGTTATCTTGGAGTTTCAGGTGGTTCAGTTTTTCTCTTCACTGTTTCTTTTACAGGTTGGTGACCTGGAAGTTTTTAATTCACTAATTTCCTTGTTTTGACATCAAAGGCCAAGTGACCAGATCTCAAAATTTCGCCTTTATCCAAAGTACATTTCGGGCTCGCGTGGACTCGAGCTCCGAGTAATCCTATGTATCTTGGACTCGGGAGGACTCGGTTTAAAATTCTTCGAGCTCATTTCTTCTTCCCGAGCTCATCTCTAATTCTCACACACTTGTACGCGCACATTAACAAATACACATGATAGTTGAGTAACACCTAAGGTAACTTTTTCGTTCCCTTCTGGTTCAATATTAAATCCTAATATTCTTACTATTTACGCAATTATCGAGCAAACTTGCATCAGCCTTGAAAACGTGATAAGCTGGATGATATTTTCGTTCAAGTTGAGCAATAATGTGGTTCAATCAGACTTAATTTGAAGGACAATAGGATTCAACTTGGCACCATGTCAAGATTACAGAAATTCAGACGATAATATGGATTAGTGCTTTAAATCTTTCCTAACGTAATTCCTAACAGAGAAGTAAATGTCATTTAAACGGCTCGAAGAAAAACAAATAAATTTCAGATTGTAGTTTAACAAGTAAGGTACATAAAAATAAAGAGTATGCTTAATGAACCCCAAATATAAAGAGTGTTATGAATAAATTAAAGAACCCCGAATATAAACCAAAGATAAAATTCTTAATGGAACCATTAAGATATTTCAATGGTTTATGTTGGCTTCTTCATGGCCCAACAGTATTTGATTGTAAGCATCATCCAACAATTTCTATCAATTGCAATGGATTTTGATAGGTCAACAAACTTCCATCATTTCATGTTCGAAAATGATGGTCAACCAACATGTTATGTTAGAAATTCTTTGATACTTAAAAGGATTTTATCTTGCTGCTTAAAAGGATGGCATAAAAACCATACATTCGGTTAAATTTGCATTACTGTTTGGAACCATTAAGATATTTCAATGGTTTATGTTGGCTTCTTCATGGCCCAATAGTATTTGATTGTAAACATCATCCAACAATTTCTATCAATTGCAATGGATTTTGATAGGCCAACAAACTTCCATCATTTCATGTTCGAAAATGATGGTCAACCAACATGTTATGGTTGAAATTCTTTGAAACTTAAAAGGATTTTATCTTGCTGCTTAAAAGGATGGCATAAAAGCCATGCATTCGGTTAAATTTGCATTACAGTTTCATAATTTTTTACAAAATGTATGGTAGTAAGAGCTGTAATTTTGAAAACCGGAATATCATATATACGAAAAAATTACCGATTTAAATACTGTACATTTTTATTTCATTCACCAGAATTAATTTTTTTTTTTTTTAACCAGAAGCGTCATTACCAAAAAGTTCGCTAATTTTACTGGAATTTTTCCTCCGTGTACACTTTCAGTAAACTCAGTTAAACCTTGAACCATAATGTGGTACAGATATTCTATAATTTTCATTGGATATTAAATTGAACCAAGTTTCCATTAAGTTCTACCTTCTCATTCATAATAATATAATTTCCACGAACTAATCTTTGAAAGTAACTTGTAAAAAATTCACTAAACCTTGACTATCATAGTATTACACTATTCAAACTTACCAAATTACCTACTATACCATAAAGTAGTATTACTATACCATAAGTTCATCACTTTTAATATCATCACTATTAATATTGCAGTAATGATATGACATGGTGCAAAATTTAAATTACATTATGAAATAATATAAAAATAATATTAATTTTCAAGCTGAAAGGTTCTTTTTCTGATTAAAAAGACTTAATAATTAAGTGAACGTGATAAATTTCCTTGTGTCTTATTCCACTCATCTTCATGTAAACTGGTATAGCAAGTCAAGAAGTTTTTTGGATGGGGGCCCTAGGGCGAAAAAAGAAGTTTGTGGACACTAAAAGTTCATCACTTTCTGTAGCGATGACCTTACTGTAAACATTGTACACAGGGGGACATTTTTTTTTCTATTTATTTTTCTAAACATTCAAGATCTTAAGTGAAAAGAAGGTAAGTGCATTGTTAATAATTTGCAAGTTATTATTTATTTGAAATGTACTTTAAAGTTCCTTGATACCACCAAGTAGAAATATGCAGATGAATCTCTGTTTAACGGCTCTCTATTTAACGAAAATAAATTCTGGTCCCGGTTCCATAGTAGAAAATCTCCTTTTAAAGACCATTGTGTCTTTGTTTAGAGAAGGAAATACTTTGACTTAGAATTATTTTAAAATTAAAGTTAATGTCAATTGAACTCATCAACCTATAAGTGCAATAGTCTTGTGAAGAAACAAACACTTCCATTCACTTGATTGATGGATTGGTGAATGCTTATAGGATTTCATAAATTTATTGTAAATATTACAGAGTCCCTACACCAAAAAATTCAACAAAATCTGCTCTTAGTTATCATATTGAAATTACCAACTTTCACCACATTCACAATTTTATCACATATTATAAAAATCATATTTTATTGTTAATTTCACCAAAATCCCATGACTAAAGCACTTCGGTAAAAATTATTAGGCTTTTCCGTAGAGCCAGAAACATGGTAAATTTTATCATATTCTGATAGTTTTAACCATACTTTTTTTCAGTGCATATACTTTGAAACTTTTATGAATACTAATATTTAAAAAAGATAGATACAAGAACGCTGGTATATTATAATTGGTATATAAGTCAAATCACAATAAAGTACCATCCAAAGTTATTTCCATTCTAAGACATATGTCATGAATTTAATTCATATACCTACTACTATTCATCTATCTATATATTAAAATCAATTTTTTGAATTCTGAAAATCTTAGCTATAATTTTTTATTTACATTCAAAAATTAAGAGAATCAAAGCGTTTAAGACGCACATAAAAATTATTTTTCCCCGTTTTAAAATTTTCGTGTCTGCAAACCATAAATTATTTAATATTAAAACTCCTTTTAAGTTCATCATAAGATTTAATAACAATTTTAAATTGAGTTAATCATAAATCAAACCTTCATGTCGTTTGATTAAATTTCGCGCAAATTTGCCTTAAAAACTAAAATAATAATTAATTCTTATTTAAAAAAAATACATTGCAGCAAAGTTTCTCTACAATGAAGTATACCTACAGCGAATTTCTCCCTTGAATACTATTTTTAATCAAAAACGTTGAATAACATTAAAATTTTTCCCCATATAACGAACCGATTGTCTTCTTATATTGAATTTTTTAGATGTTTATCATTTATATTTTCGTCAGTTTTTTAGAAATCTCAGTTGAAAATTGGAATTTTTGAATAAATTGGATCATGAGAATGAGGTAACTCTTTCCGTCTTTTTAAAAGTGAACGAAAAATTTTAAACTAATTTATATACAAAATGGTATTAGATTTATAAGGGGAAATGGTTAACGTTAAAAGACAGGAAAGTAATAGTGATGCAAAAAATGAAGATAAAATACAGACAAACTGCCCTTTAACTGAAATGCTACATTCATTCGAAATTAAGTTCATAAATGGAAAAAAAATGTGCTATATATAAGTCACTCTTAAAATTTTTATGAACTAACCCTTGACTCTGGAGAGACAATAGTATATAGTTTTATGCATTTTTTTCTGTCCTTTTAACTACAAGCAAAAGTATATTTAGGTATTTCTTAATTATAAAAAACAGTCTAATAGTCACTGAAATATCTGATAGATTATCGGAATTAAATTTGTACAAAATATAAAATATAAAAAAAAGTAGTTTGTAAGAGTTTTTTTCTAAAATTCATATTCAAAAATTTATCAGTGATTGATTTTACAAATTAATGAAATTTCATTGACAAATAACTGTTTTTCTTGGATTTAAAAAACTGCAAATAACTGCAAATTTTAGAAAAATAATAATTTGGAAGTGAATCGTGTTTGGAAGATTTTACCTTTAACGCAGAAATAGGCACTGATGTTTCATGCTGTGTTTCATAATCATAAATAACTATATGCTAAAAGTAAAATTTTTTCACTTAATCTGATCTAAATTAATACAAAATAATGAGTTAAAACCACGAAAAACAAAATAATGTAAAATAAAACTATTTTTGAAATAAAATAAAAACAATTATTTTCTTAACTGATGACTTGTCTTCAATTTTGACCAATTTATATGTTACTGGCAAAGTATGAAATGCCAGTATTCTGTAGAATGCCTAGGCATTTTACATAATGACTGACATTAGACTAAGTGTAAAATATGAGAATTATTGCATACTTTCAAACTTCACCGCTTACGCATGCACTAAAAATCTATGGTTTTTATATACAATAATAATATCTATTAACTTCAGTTCTAATTAAAAGACATAATTTTTCAAACAAGCTAAAAAATTAATATTTACCTAAGTAACTGAAAAAACATTCAGCCTCTGTGCAACGAAATTTTCGTAATAACGAATTTTTCATAGGAACCAATTAATTTCGTTTTAATGTGACTCTTATGTACTTTTATTGATTTATTGCTTATAAAATTGTAACATTTTGTTTCAGGTAGGTCTCAAAATGAAGCATAAGTGGCTAATTGTGATTCTATGCATTGCGACAAATAGTGCTCAAGTAAATATATTTAATTTTTTTCTAATACTATCAAAAAAGCTGTGGTGGTTTAGGGGATAGAGCGCTCGCCTCCCAATGGAGTTAACCGTGTTCGAATCCCTGCGAATTCCGCACCCGGCACGCATCAATCACAGTGCAAGCTTAAAATATTATCGGTGGTAAATGCATCATGGATTAGAATCCTCTTGCCGTCAGACTAGACATCCATGTAACACGAATAAGTTCCATCAAAATGTCCTTCATGAAGGCAAATTTATCATGATTTTAAATAATTTTATAAATTCTAACTAAAAAGATCTTCAAGATAAATACCAGCCATTTTCATTCTTCACTTCCCAAACTACTTCTGAAATTGCTCCTGCAATTAAAATTATCCTTGAAGCAATTTAGTTCAGTTAATTTTTTTTCAGTATCATGGTGCGAATTCTTCTTAATCAATTAACGTCAGCCAATACTTGTTAAACCTTGGAGCCGACCGGCTAGTGTAGGGGGCAGGGAACTGTCCTTGCATCGGAAAGGTCCTGGGTTCGAATCCCGGGCAGGGCATGAATGCTTCTTTCTCTCTCTGTGTGTTCTATGTCCTTTCTCCTTTGTGTGAGAATGTGACCCGCCCTATAAACGGGTTGTAGTTGTATGAATGACGTGGCAGAAGTCGAATTCCTGGCCATAGATGGCGCCACTGAAAAACAGAAACAATTGCACCCCCACTGCCTAAACAGGCATACGACAAAAAAAAATAACTTGAAAAGTCGGTTAAGTGAAAGCGAAATCGGTTAAAGGTGTAAGGAAAAGATTAAAAGGAAAGTAAGAAAGGAAAATCGGTTGAGTAAAGTAAGAAAAGAAAATCGGTTGAGTAAAGTAAGGAAAATTTATTAAGGGAGTAAGAAAAAGGTTGAATGGAAAGTAAAGAAGGAAAAACGGTTAAATGAGAAATAAGAAGGTTAAAAAGAAAGTAAATTAGGAAAATCGGTTGAGTAAAGTAAAGAAAATCGGTTTAAGAAGTAAGGAAAAAGTTGTAAGGAAGGAAAATAAGTACATCTTGATGTACCTTGGATGATGATGTACCTTCTTGATGTTGTACCTTCTAGGAAAACATTCATTTTAAGTTCTGTTGTCTTAAACTCTCTAGTTGATTGAGTAAGAAAATTCATGCAATCGAAATTTATTTTTTATGTAGTCGGTATTAATCAAATTAATCATAAACGTAAGAATATTTTAATGTAATATTTCATAAGTTATTAGCTTTACTAATCAACATAATTTAACTTTTAATTATAGATTTTTGGAATTCCTGTTGCCGACACTATAGATGAAGTTTCCAAGGAAAGTGTAGATTATCCTGTAAGTAATAATTGAGAAATTTTATCACTGTTATTTTTTTCTTTTTTTTTTCTTTTTTCTCTTTCGTAATTTCAATACATTTTTGAAGTACATTTCAGTGATAACGATAATTTTTCTTTGAAAAGATTAAATACTGCCAAAAAAAATATGTTTGTCTTTTTCCATTTAATTTTTTAAGTTTTGAAACTGTCTATCAGAATTTACCAAAAACCTTTAGAAACTAGTCTCAATATAATCTCTATATATTGTAGAAAAAAAATCTCTTTCTATGCCGCAGTTTTTAGTACAAATTTTTTCAGTAATGAAATAATATGTATTAAATATTTAGTCTATTTCACATTATTTGTAGAAATATAATTGCAAGCTTGGCAAAAGAAGAAAAAATACTAAAGAATCTATGAAATTTTTTCAAATACGCGATAAATAATACCATTTTTTCAATGGCGGGCACTTGGGACATTGACCCATTGGCCACTGGAATGCCAGAACTGCTACTCTCTTTTCGTTACCCAGTAGGCACCTGTGGTGAAGCCACGGCGGTGGAGCAGCGTCGCCCACGTCACACAACCACAAACCCGTTTATAGGGCGAGTCACATTCGCACAATCACACACAAAAGGAGAAAGGACATAGAACACAGAGAAGAGATAAAGAAACATCCATGCTCTGAGCGGGATTCGAACCCGCAACCATCGGTTCCGCAGTCAGACGCGCTAACCACTCGGCCACCTGGTCGGCATTTATGATACATATAAAATAAATATTAATTTCAAACGAATTTTCGTTAGTTTTAATTCCGATAATAAATTCTTACAATAAAACAAAATGTTTGGAAAATGCATAATTATGCTGGAGCATTTGTAGTCATCACTCAAAACAATTGAATTTTTATTCAAATTCTTCAAATAATTTTTTTTTTAAATTTATCATATTAAAGCGTAAATAGTATTAAAATTTCTGATTGAGGATTGAGGTCTTGCTAGTCTTCTTTTATAGCGAACAAAGCGCTTCCTCTGTCGAATGAATCAAAGTTGGAGACGTAATCAAGAAAAAAATTGTAGTTTTGACAATTTTTAACGTAAAAATTTCCTCAAAACAGAAAAAATGAATCGTTTGCATGATTTCAGAACCTAAAAAAATTCAGCCCAATAGACGGACTGCACTTAGAAAATTTTCCTTGTTAGTCTGACTTATTATTTTAATAGCCTAAGCCGGATAGTGAATAGTATGATCATTGTTTGAGTTTCTAGGCAGATGTTTTTGTTTGCTTAAAAATGACATTCCCAGAATACTGTTTCATAACTTAACAAATAGTTAAGACAAATTTGTTAACAGCTCTAATGAGTTCCAATTTATTTATATTTTTATGTGATAATACCAGAATACTGTTTCATAAATTAACAAATAGTTAAGACAAATTTGTTAATAGTTCTAATGAGTTCTTATTTATTTACATTTTTATGTGACAATACCAGAATACTGTTTCGTAACTTAACAAATAGTTAAGACAAATTTGTTAACAGTTCTAATGAGTTCTTATTTATTTATATTTTTATGTGACAATACCAGAATACTGTTTCATAACTTAACAAATAGTTAACACAAATTTGTTAACAGCTTTAATGAGTTCTTATTTATTTATACTTTTATGTGATCTTCTTTACATAAAAAATAAGTCTACACAAAAAAATACTGGTAAAAAATGAATAACTCTGGTTCCTAAAACTAAAATATTACAGCATTTGAACCATTCATTCCATGATTTTTCGTTTCATATGATATTGGTGTATCATAAATTATTATTTTCTAAATTATACTGTTTATTAACACCTGTTTAGTAAAAATACCAAAGTAAATTGAACTAAAATGAAAACTGAAAAGTAAATTTAACAGAATAAAGATTTTTTTTTGCCACACTCTAAGGTATCATGGTAAAATTACCAAATTTTACCACATTCACCAAATTGTAACACATATTATAAGATATTATGTTGTTAAGATTACCATAATAATTATCTCAGCGCTGCTGTAAAAATTTTCTCGCTTTTAGATGTTCCCAAGAGCCAAAACCACGGTAAATTTCACCATATTCTTGAACTTTTGGCCATACTTTTTTTTCTCGGTAGACGTTTTAAAATAGTTAAAAACAAGCTACTATCAATAGTTTTGAATGTCCAATGAAGGTCCAAGCTCATAATTTGAAAGTTCATATCTTTTACGAGTAATGACAATATTAAAATTATCATTTCTGTTGTAAATGAGAATTTTTTCTCAAATCCCAATACACTCTTATGTCAATATAGTTAAGCAATATTTCAAAAGGGAATTAAATAATTCATATTTAACAATCATACCTCTCTAAAGTTGAAATAAAGTATTATTTTGGCCTGAAATTATTTTGTTAGTGTAACTTAATCGTTTTCCCATAGTTTTAGTGTTCACTTTACATTATAAATTTTTACTTCACTTTGTGCAAAAAAACGTTGAATATTTACGTCTTTTTTTAAATGCTTTAATGCAAGGTGCATAAAGCATTCTTGTGCAAAATTGAGTAACAAATCAATTAACCTTAACATTATGCAGGACCACTTTGCAGCTACTAAATCTATTTGCAATGTTAATGTTCAGCTATAGAGAAATTATGTTATTTATTATTTTAATAGATTAAATTCATAACGCTATATGTTGTTTTAAAACTTACAATTCAGAAATGTTGTCGAATAATAATTTTTCATGATAAATAATTACCGTCATGTGGGACTACTAGGCGAAGTGGGGGCTACTTTGTGCAAATTCGAATTTGGCACTTTTCAAGTGCTGCTATTCAGTATTATGTTTTTTTCACGTTAAAAATGTGTGAAATTTGAAGATAGAAGCCTTCTCTATTACTACAAACATTTTTTCGAATTTTAAAACAATCTCAGAGAGTGTTTTGTTTATCCAATGTCAACAACTTTCCTAGAACGTCGGACGTCGAAAAGTATGCGTGGAAACTTTAGCTGTGAAATGCAAAGACGTTGATAAAACAATTGTCGTAAGTGCAAAATTCCTTATTTATATATTAATAAACAATTATATCATGTTAGCGTTAAAAAAATTTGAAAATTAATAACGAATAAGTGGAAAATGAAAAAAAAATGCACTGTGGGGCTATTTTGTACAAAGTTTCATTCGTTTTTTTTTTTTCCCGACAGAAAAATTGTCAGACGTAATAAAAAAAAATACTTGGAACGAGAAACTACCGTGATTACACTTTAGAAAAGTTGCAACAATGTTTGCAAGCAGTTGCTGGTGGTATGTCGATTGCAGAAGCTTCTCGGAAGTACAAAATCCACAGAAATACTATCTCTAATAAAATTCACAAGAAGCACGTGAAAGGTGCCGGTAAACTATTATTTTTCTTCTACAAAGATTTTTCTAATGAATTAATCAAACGATTTAACACATAAAAATATATTTTATAGGACATCAGGTGATTTTGACTGAAACTGAAGAGCAAGTTCTGTCATGTTCATTCGAGCATGTTATGTTCAAATTTATCAATATTATAAATGTTAATGAATACGTAATAGTTATTATTTTTGAAATTTCATTCATTTCAATGTTCAAATATGTATATGGTTTCCTTTTGTTTAAACTCAAATGTTTTGAAATAAACATTATTTTTAAGAAAATATTCTTTATAAAAAATGGTTCTTTAACGCTAAAAATTATTTTCAAACTAATATCTTTACATATCTTGATGCTTTTGTTAGTAAAAATGTCAACAATTAACTTTTTTAACAATTTTATATCAATATTTTACTAAAAACATGATTATTAAACTGAGTTCCTATCGCTGCACAAAGTAGCCCCACTTGGGGGCTACTTTGTTCAAGATATGTTTTGACTTATTATTTGTAAATAGTACATATAAATAATGCCAATATTGATCAAATTCACTCGTCTGAGTCCAGTTATGAATATAATATCGATAAATTCTTCTAAAGTTTGAATTAGCATAGTTTTTTTACATGTCAAAGTTCAAAAATTGCGAAATCCTGCACAAAGTAGCCCCACATGACGGTATAAAAAAAAATTTATTTCTATAAAAATGTCAAATTTTTAATGTATTTTATGATTTGTCTCATACAGGAAGAAACGTACAATTTGCCACCTGAATTGTATGAACCTCATGACCATGGAAGACCCAACTGTAATTCCAATTTTCAAAATCCGGCGGCTAAGGAGGACATGGATGGAGACTATATTATAGACGGCGAAGACAGAGAAAACGGAGTAATTTACAAATTTTTTTTCACTTCTTTATTTTACATAAATTATCTATTAATAATATAATAAGAAAAAGTATTATATATTTATTATTATAAAGTATTTCGTAGCAGATCGTTGTAGGCAAGAGAGCCGAGAGAGAGAGCAAGAGAGTGTAAATGTTCGTCAGTTTCGAGACTATGATGGTGACTATGTGGTCAGCATTGCGCACTAGCTGCCTTTATTTTCCAGACATATTGGTACTCATCGGTCTGAAGCTGGATAGGCTTCAATCTGCCATTGGAAAAAAAAGACATTTTTAGATAAAGGAATAAATAAATAAAGGAATAAATAAACAAAGGAATAAATAAATAAATAAATAATAGCTCAATGCTTTATACACTGGAGCCGTCGGGTATCAATTATACATATTATAAAAACCATGAAACACACGAGCATCATGGGACAATTATAAATAATTTTATTTTTAGGAAAAATATGTCAATTTTCTATATGGCGAGCAATAATATAAGCAAAGTTATAGGATGTAGTGAAACAAGTTCATTAATAAATATTTTATTTTCAGTTTTAGATCATTTAACTTGTTCTCCCGTTTAAACAAAGGGTTAAACTGAAGTTAGTATAAATCACACGAACATAGCACATATTTCATGGTTATTAATTATAGAGTCCGTTTAAAAAATATTTAGATTAAGATATGGGATTTATTAACATTTAAAACACGTCTCTTGAGATTTGAGTGTATAGCTTTGCCGCTTAAAAGAGTTCGTAAGATATTAAAAGAATAAAAAATTCAGAAATATATGAGAAACTCATAAAAAATTGAAATTATGAAACAAAATAGAATTTTAATAATCGTATAAATATAATTTTTAGTAAGCTAATATTTTATTAAAAACTGAATTTTACATTTGCAGCTTTTAAGCATGGTTTGTTAAATATAATTATTTATATAAGAGCGAACGCATCATGTTCTTTTTTAAGATATTAAAAATAGATTAGATAATTTCGACTTGGTAGTCTTTTTGTCTAACAAAAGCATTTCTTCTATGAATTTAATACAATTATAACTTTTATATAAAAATTTTACTTTAAATTTAACGTTTTTAAACTGCTTNTTTATTTATTTAATGATTGATTATTATACACAATTTTATTCTGTACATATCAGCAACAAAAAAATTTTTGATTCCTTCTACAGTGGATAAAAAGAATTAATTTAAGCAATTTATGGTCTATCTAACGTAAAGACTTAAGTTGAGTAACTTACTGTTAACTTAAAATGACTGTTTTTTAAACTTTTAAGCTAATATGTCATTTTCCTGGCATTCAAGATTTAGTGAATTTCTATTTTATTTCTTTTTTTCTCGAGCAAATGTCAATAAACTACACTGCCGTCTGCAAAATATTAATAAGTGCACCTAAAGAAGTATACAAAAAAATTTTTAGAATATTTTGAAGAATTTAAATATGAAGAAATTTTTTGGTCCGAATTGTCATGTTTAAAAAGAATCACCCATAAATCACATGAACAAAGCATATATTTCATGGTTAATAATGGAGTCTGCTTAAAAAATATTGAGATAAAGATATGGAATTTATTTACATTTGAAGCACGTCTCCTGAGATTTGAGTGTATAGTTTTGCCGCTTAAAAGAGTTCGTAAGATATTAAAAGAATAAAAAATTCAGAAATATATGAGAAACTCATAAAAAATGGAAATTATGAAACAAAATAGAATTGTAATAATAGTACATATATAATTTTTTATTGGCTAATATTTTTTAAAAGCTACATTTTAGAACTGTAGCTTTCAAACGTGGTTTGTGAAATATAATTATTTATGTTAGAGCGAACGTGTCGTGTTCTTTTTTAAGATATTGAAAATAGAATAACCAATTTCGACTTGGTTGTCGTCTTGTCTAACAAAAGCATTTCTTTTATGAATTTAATACAATTATAACTTTTATATAAAACTTTTACTTTAAATTTAACGTTTTTAAACTGCTTATTTTTTATTTTATTATTATTGATTTTAATTCATTATTAATTTTATTTTATTATTAATTTTTTTACTTTATTTTTTTTATTGAACAAGTGCAAAAATATACAATTCTAAAATAAGTTCTTTCTATTACTATAGCATATTTTTACATGATTATACATTATTACACACGATACCATATTTTAGCATGATTATACATTATTATACATGATACCATATTTTAACATGATTATACATTATTATACCTGATAGCATATTTTAACATGGTTCTATGCTCTTTATAAATAGAATAGGCTTCTCAGGGTTACGTGATTTCCCCTCTTTCCACACTTTTCCCATATTTGTTGCCATGGTTTCGGTAAATCTTGATTTTTCCTCACTGCAGTACGTTTCATTAAAAGTTAGAAAATATTGGCTTGGGGAAAAAACAAGATTTGTTGAAACTATGGTAGCGGAAATTGGAAAAGTGAGGAGACAGGGGAAATTGCGTAACCTTAGAAAGCCCATTCAATTAAAACTTTTCTAGAACTCATACTAGAGCTTCGTGCTTCTTAACTTCACAAAAATTAAGTTAATTAAGTGCCCTAAGATTCATTATATAAGCACTTGTTTTGATTGCAGGTTGAAGCTTTGAAAACAAAAGAAGACTTGAAAACAATAGCAAATGATCAGGTAATATAGTAGCTAAATAACTATTTTCTTGAATTTTAAATATGAAGTGAATCATAAAATAATGATTGAGTTTCTCGTTTTAATAGCTTGATGTATTCTAATGATCAGTCACTTTTTCGCATTGTTCAGCTGTGTGATTTTATAAGTGTTTTTTTTTATTTGTTTATTTATTTATTTTTGGTGAAATAATTATTACAATTGAGTAGACAATAGGATGTTTGTGTGTATTGTACTATTGTCTAGGTAAATTACAGAAACTTTTAACTACATATCCAGAAACAATGCGAAGAAGATTGTACAGCATTTAAGAAATAATATGGCTTATCATTACAATGCCCCAAATCCTAAAATTGCGTAAATTTACGCCCATAAATGAACTTTCTAAAATAATTATGTTCATTTGAACACTCCTTAATAATAACAAACATGCATTTATCTTCGAAAATATTCAATTACAATTATTTATTTCATTATTATTATTATTTATTTATTTTATTCAATTATTCTTCTTCTTATTATTATTATTCAAATATTATAATTATTATTATTATTATTGTTATTATTATTCAATTATTATTATTATTATTATTATTATTATTGTTGTTGTTGTTGTTGTTATTATTATTTATTTTAATATTATTATTTTATTATTATNGCCTCCCAAAGTGCTAGGGTTACAGGTGTGAGCCACCGCACCTGACCATATTTTTTTAATTTTAATTTTAATTATTATTATTTTATTATTATTCAATTATTTATTTTAATATTATTATTTTATTATTATTCAATTATTTATCTTAATATTATTATTTATTGTTATTTTTTATTATTATTGTTTTTATTATTATTATTTATTATTAAAAAATTACAATTTATTTATTTATTTTAAGATTATGCTTTTTGGTGGAAATCCTTCATTCACGGAAACCGGTGAAAGGATTGTTGAAGGTGATATTGTCGTTCCAAAATATGCAGATGATCATAAGGAATTATCCCACAGAAAAGGGACCATCAACTTGTTAGCTCTTTGGCCTCGATCAACTGTTTATTACACCTTGCATTATTGTAAGTAAAAAGAAAACTATTGCTTAGTATTAAACAACCGGGAGAATTCGTCTTGGGAGGATGAGTTCTATCTGATTACACTTATTGATTTCTTGGCAGATTTCAAAAATGATTTTAATCTTGATTATGTGAAGATATTGATGATTGATTTGAAGATACTGATTAAGATTTCATTATATCTTCAAAAATGAATTTGAATGTATACTGCTTTTGATTAAATTCATGCAGTTCGAAACTTATTTAGTTCATTTAAAATAAAAACCTTAATATTTTGGAAGATAGATTTTTTTAAATTTAAAATTCGTTCCTCTAAACAAAAGACGCGTTTGAAGATAAATTAGTCTCAAAATTTTGCTTATTAATGTTCAAATTTTACATAAAATTGCTAGAAAGAACGTTTAGAGCATTATTATTTGCGATCAAAGCATCCTTTGTGAAGACTAATATTTGCTAGTCAGGCTTTTCAACTATGTTATAAATAAAAGCAGTGGTCGAGATTGCCTGTTTGGTTGGGCGTTGGGCTCATGTTGAAAAGGTCGTGAGTTCGATCCCCAGCGGCCATAGACTCTCCATGTAGTAAATGATGTCTAATGCACGCTAAATCAACCGGGACACAAAGTCGTCCATGTTCCCATAACAAATCATACCTGTGGGGGTACTGAATTGGAGATTGGTCGTTCTCTGGGTCATGTCAAAATTATGATTTGTGGATGAATAAATGAATCTATGAATGAGTCCCCCCATAAACGAGTTGTGACGTGTGTGTGGCAACAGGCTTATTCCTTGCCATAAAAGACCCCACTGAAAAACAAGAAACGCACCCTCGGCCTAAAATTCGCTTGGCTTCACCAAGCAAGCATCCTGGTTGGCAAGTAGCATTAAAAACAACACAAAGGAAAACAACTCAAAGGAATTGATTTGAAGTTACATTGCAAGCGGTACTATTTCCGCTAAAGCTCGAGAGTCGTTATTATGGCTTATCGGTAGATTGACCACGATAATTCGCGAAAGATTCGGAATCAAGTGTTTTCCGCTAAAAACGCATTAACTGTTTCCATATCGATAAAGTTCAAACGTCTTTTTCTCTCATTCTATCAATTAATTTGTTGATTGTTTGATTGTATTTATTGACTTGATCCTTTATACGTTGAAAAATATGGTAATAACATTAAAAAAAAAATTCCATGTATTATTGTTTCTTAAGGGATTGATGATTGATTCCATCAACTGATGCGTTGGTTATATAATTGCAATAACTTGATTTCTCAGACAGCGAAAAATAAATAAATAACGTTGTGTTAATTTAAGAGTACAGAAACGTTGCTGTTGTTCCAACGAAGATCTTATTGTCACTTTTAAAAGTGTCTAGTAGGTAATGTGCTGTTTATCTAGGTAGTTTGCAGATTTCATAAGGAATTCGAAAATTGAAAAATTTTTGTTTGCACTTTAATCAATCAACATAAATTATCGTATACAATAGCTAGATAATCTAATTTCTATATTTTAGTAGTAATATTTTCCAAAATCAGCAAACAAAAACTTTTGCGTGCATCTTAATGAACAAAAAGTGACTAATAACCCATTAGTTCGTTATAATAATTCTTTTTTTTCGGAAATGAAGCCGATTTATTAATTTATTTCTCTTGAATAATTAGTTTGCTAACATAAAAAAACTATGAAAGCAAAAAAAAATAAAAAATTCCTGCTTTTGTTGCTAAATATTTAACCCATGTTCGTTTATTTTAAATGTGTTTTGCATAAGAAATATTCAAAATCTGAATAAATATAGCTGATATGACCTGATATGATTTGTGAGCTGATATGATCTGAATGCAAATCAGTTTTAAATTTTTGAAAGGAAGAATGAACCATAGCGATAATGAAAGCGGGAGAGAATGTATCAGAACAAGTTGGGAACCACTTCTAAAACTCTTCTTTGGTTGAATACTTTAATAATCTCGTAAAAAAGAACTTTCCTCGTCCAGTGCTATAAATAATTTATTTGTCTTCTTAAAAGTTTCATTAATCTTGAAATTTTACTTTTAAATTTCTTTCCATAGCGCTCAATCCCTTAGGACGTCGAGCGATAAGAGATGCTATGGAGCATTGGGAAAATATGACATGCGTTCGATTCGTAGAAAGGACTACACAGTTGTGGTACGTTCGATTCAGGGGTGACAGAAATGGGTAAGTATCAAGGCAATTTTTCTAATTTTGTAATCATGAAAAATGCTGATGAAACTCATCAAAAATAATTTCCTTTAATGACTATTTAAAGAGGAAAATTCTATTGACGAGTTTTCTGAAGTTACCTTTCTTTCCTTTTACAGTTGTTGGTCGTCCATGGGAAGAAATTTATTGCCTTTAATTGGCCAAGATCTTTCAATTGGAAACAGGTGTGAAAAGGTATATAGACCAGTTTTTATGTCTTAAATGAATTTTGTGCTGCTTGGGAAGGAAGCAACTACAAACTTCTACAAAAAAAACAAAAGTAACAGCAACAGTTGACAAAAGTAAAAGTAACAGTTGACACATAACACCGGGGAACCAAGCTTTTGTTGCATTTATAAAAAAAAAATAATTGATTTTGCCTAATTTGGGTATGGAGATTTAAAATCTAAAGTTTTGCTCCTGAAGATGCAGATTTTTTAAATGACATTTTTATTCCATTTTTGTCAACATGTACGACTTTATAAATGTCATACGTAACAGGGGGTCACGTAAATGTTGCGACAAATTTCTAGGGGAGTTAAGGCGCATCATCAGAATTAAAGTTTCATGGGAAGTATCATTCCCGGAAATGTTGTCGTATGCAGCCAGGGATACTTTCTTGTTATGACCTGCTCGAAAGCACACGACGAAATAGTTTTATTCATATTCCTCCCCTATAAATTTGTAGCAATATTTATATGACCCCTTGCTTTATATGACGTTTTTAAACTTAATTAATTAAAAAAGTTAAATTAAAAATGCCATTTAAAAAATAAACTGCAGCTCAGAAAAAGAAAAACAGATTGCAGATTTAAAATCAGCGTTAGGAATATATTTAAAATCGGTTTTAAAAAATCCTATGCAACAGAAAAAAAATTTGCTCCCCTGCGGATATAATTAAGAAAGGATAAAAATAAAATAATAAGGATAAAAATTAAGAAATTTTGTTACCTGCCAGTAGCCGATAGTAGTAGTTTTAATTGTGCCAACTTCTGAAAATATGTAGCCATTTTTGAAAATGTATGGCCATTATTAAAAATATGCGGTCACTTTTTCAAAAATTAAGTATTCAAATCCATTAAAAAATGATTTTATTAATGAAAAGCAGCTTTTTGAAACATTCCTTAAAATGTGTTAAACACTACATGGCTCATTATTGAGGTAAAGAAAATTTTATTGACATATCTATATTAATTAAGTATTGATAACGTTTATAACGTATTCAATTGATTAAATTTAGGCCGTAAGCTTTTAAACCAGTAATTCGACATAAATTTATGTTTATCAACAAAGACAAAGTTTATTCGTTGCGAAATAAATTTGAAATAATTACTATCATAATCATGAAGTTATATTAATTAAATTATTCTTAAATATTATCAGAAAAAAATTTTAAGAAAATGATGTGAAATTTGCTCCAATTCGAATGAAGCCATTAGTAACCAAACTCAGTCCCTCAGAAATATTACATCAGCATAAAATTAACTGTTATTTCAGCTTTTCCCTGAAATAAATTATACGAGAAGTTGAAAGCAAATGTGTTGGAGCACATGTTGGCGAAAAAATTGGGATCAGATGGCGACTTACAAACAAATTTTTGATCGTCACTTTTCAAATTTAGTCGCCTTGGGGGCAGAGGCTACCGATTTTGCCCTATTGTTGGTGCAGACCATCAGAAATGTAAGTTTTAAATGCTATTGCATTTTAAACATTCATTTGTTATGTAATAATGCAATAGAATATGTGTAGTAATATTCCATTCTACAAAATGAAAAATTATTTAAAAAACTATTTTATAATTACTTTGAAAGATCAAATTTTGTTTTTATTCAAAACTAGCCGCCTAAGGCGGCCAGCTGTCCGCCACGCTAAAGGTTTCCACAAATAAAGTTTTTTAAAACATAGCAGGAAATCTGAAGATTAGTGGACAATTAAAGTGTTCCTGTCCTGCAATTTTGTCTTCATATCCAGTTCTGCTGCAGATGTGTTATAGCTCTTGAGGATGTTTGAAATTATATAGCTACAACGCTTAAGAAA